CTGCCTCCCTAACCTGTTCTTCCTCCCACCTATCCCCTCCTCCCACCTCAAGCCGCACCTCCATCTCCTACCGACCAACCTCATCCCGCCCCCTTGACCTGTCCGTCCTCCCTGGACTGACCTATCCCCTTCCTAACTCCCTACCTACACTCACCTTTACTGGCTCCATCCCCGCCTCTTCGACCTGTTTGTTTCCTCTCCACCTATCCTCTCCTCTATCCCTCTTCTAACCGCCTCCCACTCTCTCCCTATTTATTTCAGAACCCCCTTCCCCTCCCCCTTTTCTGATGAAGGGTCTAGGCCCGAAATGTCAGCCTCTCTGCTCCTATGATGCTGCTTGGCCTGCTGTGTTCATCCAGCCCTGCACCTTGTTGTCTAGGAAAGTGGTAACTAAGTTTCATGACACATCTTAAACCTTTTGTATTGTTCCAGGCAGGTTATATGTCCGGGATGCTAGTGCCTGTAGCTGTTGGCGTGGCAGGGGCACTCTTCATTCTGGGAGCTCTCTATAGTTTCAAGGTGATGAATCGGAAGAGGAAAAGTGTTTTCAAAAGACGCGAAACAAAGGTAATTACCAGGAAAGTAGTCTGACAAAATCTACAATGCACTTTGTAACAGATCAGGCTTATCCTTTGTTTGCTTTGATTATGTGTTCGACCCTTAACGTTGGATATCATGTCAATCAATCATTTCCATTTCTGAAGGTTCATTAAACTGAGCCACATCATAATACTCAACATTTCATCTCAAATTTAGAAAGATATCATTTATTTTACTTGGAAATTGACTGAAAAGCCTTTTGCACCTTTAGCAACCACAATGTCCGAAAGTGCTTTCAGTCAATTAGCTACTACTTTTAAAGTAAGGAATATGGGAATCAATTTGTGTTCAGCAAGTTCCTGCAAGCATTAACATGATAATGATTAGATAATTGCTTTTAGTAATCTTCGTTGGAAGGATAAATATTGGCCAAGATAATTCCCTTGCTCTACTTGCATGTCCACTTGAGAAAGTAGATTGGGCGTTCAGTTTAACATCTTATCCACATAAGAAGACAAGCTTTTAACTCCTAGGCAAGAGTGCTGCCAACTGAATCATGGCTGATGAAGCTAATCAAACTGAGAGGTCAAGCAGAGATCTTAACAATTTTAACCCTTCCACCTTGACTATTTTTGTGCCAGAGGATGTTTGTGGGATGAGTAGGAGAGGGGTGGGCGGTCTGGGCTGTGATTGTAGATGAGGCAGGTGTGGGAACCAAAGGATTCAGGAGGGCGTATATGTAAGCTTAAAAGGCAAAAGAATATAATGACCTTGCAGGGCAACTGTTTTGACAATGATAGTGGGTCAGAAATTGAGTATAATGAGTGTCAAAGCATAAAAAAAGCAAGAACATCAAAGAGATAAAAATGGTGAAAAGGCAAAGTTAATATCTCTTAAACGGGCATTATATTTGGAATAAAATGAATGTACTGATTACATAAAAAGAGATTAATAGGTATGATCTTATAACGATTATGGAGACGTGGTTACAAGGAAATCAAAGCTGGAAACTAAATATTTAGGGTTATGTGACTTTTCTTTAGAAAGAAAGATGGGCAGGAAGGGAAAGAGGTTGGCGTTAATACGGGATAGATAAGTGTGATGGGAAGAAATGATCTAGAATCTGATAAATCAAAATCCATATGGGTGCAGGTAAGAGTTAATAAGAGGAAAAGACACTGTGGCTAATAGACTATGGGCTTATTAGCAGTAGCTGTTCTTTAGGACAGAGAATAAAGCAGGAGATAATGAAGGCATGTTTAAAAAAATGCAGTACATTTTTTGAAAAAGCAGCAAGGTGGCTTAGTGGTTAGCATTGCAGCCTTGGCTGTGCCAGGGACTTGGGTTCAATTCCGCCCTTGGGTGATTGTCTGTCTGTGTGAAGTTTGCACATTCTCCCTGTGTCGACATGAGTTTCCTCCAGATGCTCTGGTTTCCTCCCACAGTCCAAAGGTGTGCAGGTTAGATGATTGGGCATGCTAAATTGCCAGTAGTGTCCGGGGATGTGCAGTCTGGGTGGGTTAGCCATGGGAAATGCAGGGTTATAGAGGTGTAGGGGAAGGATGCTGTTTTATGGACCAGTGTGGACCAGCCTGCTTCCACACTGTAGGAATTCTATGATTAATCATGGGTGATTTTTTTTTTAGTCTTCATGTAGACTGGGAAAAATCAAATTGGCAAAAAATAATTCCGAGGAAGAAAATATAAAGTGTATTCACGACAGTTTCCAGGAACAATATGTTCTTTGTCCACATTGGGATAATGAGGCAGATTTAGTAGTTGATCTGAGTAAAAGATTCATAGGGAACAGTGACTGTAACATGGTTGAAGTTAGCATTGAGTTTGAGTGAGAAACTTGGGTTGGGAGCAACTGTGAGGGAGTGGACAGCGAAAAGAGTAAATAGTTCATGGCTCACAGCAAATACATATCCAAGTGAGGCAGAAGGATCCTAGGAAGAAGATAAACTGATCATGGTTAATCAAGGAAGTTGAGGATAGAATCAAACTTGCATAGAAACATAGGAGGCCATTAAACCCCTTGAACCTGCCTTGCCATTCAATATGATAATGGTTGATCATTGAGCTCAATATCCTAATCCCACCCACTTTCTCCCTTCAGCCCCATATTCTTTGATCCATTTTAGCCACAAAAGCCATGTCTACCTCCTTCTTGAAAACATACAATGTTTTGGCCTCAGTTGCACTTCATCTGATGAAGAGTCACTGGACTCGAAATGTTAACTCTGCTTTCTTCACACAGATGCTGCAAGACCTGTTTGAGTTTGTCCAGTAACTTGTGTTATTGTTTCAGATCTCCAGTATCTGCAGTTCTTTGTTTATTTCATTTAATTTTAGAACCTGAACAATTTCCACGATGTCCTTTACCTACCCCCACACCCTAGAACATGACATGGGCTGCTTCCCGTGATCAGCTTTCCCCTCAGGCATATATATCCCCTTTCTTAACTGATGAAGGGTCACTGGACTCAATGTTAACTTTGCTTTCTCTCCATAGCTGCTGCCAGACTTACTGAGTTTCTCCAGCAATTTATTTGTTTCAGATTTTCAGTATCCACAATTCTGTTTCATTGTAGAAATTTGTTCACGTTTTTGGGAGGCTACTTGCTACTGAAAGAGCAGTTAAACAATATCCTATACTGCTTAAGAAGTACAAGAACAACAACAATATTGGTGAAGATGGGATTTGCATTGCTAGTAAAAGAGGATGTCCTTAAGACTTCAAGGACAGAATCAGTTTGACTAGAGCTAAGGAACAAAACAGATGCAGTTACATTGCTCAGTGTAGTTTGTGGACTATCAGCTAGTGGGACAGATTCAGGAACAATTCTGCAGGGAAACTACAGAGAAGTACAAATATTATAGCGCAGTTATAATGGGGTATTTTAACTCCCCAAATGTGGTTATGGACAGTGGTAGCATAAAGAGTGTAGCGGAACAAACATTCCTAGGCTATGTTCAGGTAAGTTTTCCACAGCAGTATGTGTCCAGTTCACCAAAAGAGGATGTACTGTTGGAGATAACACAGTGTGGAGCTGAAGATAACACAGTGTGGAGCTGGAGGAACACAGCAGGCCAGGCAGCATCAGAGGAGCAGGAAAGCTGAAGTTTAGGGTCAGGACCCTTCTTCAGAAGCTGTGTTCCTCCTATTCCACACCTTGTTATCTCAGACTCCAGCATCGGCAGTTCTTACTATCTCTGTACTGTTGGATCTGGATTTTGGAATTAGCTGAGCCACTTGGATCAAGAGTCATTGGGGGGGCACCATTTAGGAGGCAATGCACCATAAAGTTTTGAATGAATGATTTAAAAAGGATACTAGGCAATTCAGAGTAAGCATAATTAACTGTGAGAGAGCTGTTTTCACTGGGAAAGCATGGAGCTGGACCAGATAGACTGGAACAAAAGATTGGCGGGAGAAACTACCATAACATCCCTTCAAAAAAGAAATGGTTTGGGCATATTCGGGGTATGTTCACTCAAAAATAAATGGTAGCGCAATGATAGGATGAAAAAGGAGGTAGAAATTAAGATAAAGCGAAAAATGGTGCTTATGAGAGCTATCAATTGAGAACCAAGTGGAATACAAAAGTTCAAAGCAGACGTGCAAAAGCAGATTGCAGAAGTGAAAAGGACTTATAAGAAAGGACTGGCAGCCAACAAAAAGAGAAATTCTAAAGTTTTCTACATAGATATAAATAGTAAAAGTGTGCCAAAAGGAGGAGTAGGGGCAATTAGGGACCTAAAGAGAATTTAGGCATGAAGCACGGCTGAGGTATTAAATGAATACTTTGGATCTGTATTTACAAAGGAGGCGGATGCTACCCAGGCCATAGTGACAGGAGGAACCTCTGTCATTAGAAGGATTTATAATGGATAAGGAAGAAGGCTTGGATTGATTTGGATTAAAGTTAATGAGGCACCAGGTCTGGATGAGATGCATTTTAAGATTTTGAAGGAAGTGAGAATGGAAATTCCAGGAGCACTGGCTACAATATTTCAGACTTCCCTAGACTCAGGGGTTGTTCAAAAAGGTTTGTCAGAATGGGGCCAGCAATTGCAAATCAGTCCGTTTAACTTTACCTTAACTAAACTTCCAGAAACCAATAAAAACTGAAAGAACTGCGGATGCTGTAAATCAGGAACAATAACAGAAATTGCTGGAAAAGCTCAGCAGGTCTGACAGCATCTGTGGAGAGAAATCAGAGTTAACGTTTTGGGTCGAGTGGACCTTTCACTTTTGTTCCAGGAACCAATATTTGGGATAGAATTGGTAATCACATGAAAAATAGTAGTTTGATTAGGAAGTGCCGACGTGGATTTCTAAGGAGAAAATCGTGTTTAATTGACTTATTGGAGTGTTTGATGCAGTTGGATATGAACTTTGAAAATTTGATACAGAGCCACACACAGACTTATGAGAATTTATAGCCCATGGAATAAAAGGGACAGTAGTAATGTGGATGCAAAATTGGTTGAGCAATAAGAAACAGTAATGGTGAATGGACACTTTTCAGGCTGGAGGACAGATTGTATTGGAATTTCACAGAAGTCTATATTGGGACCCTTGCTTTGCTTGACATAAATTATTTAGATCTTGGTGTGCAGGGAGCAGTGTCAAAATTTGCAGGTGATACAAAATTTGGAAACATTATGAAGTGTGAGGAGGACACGTAGAATTTCAAAAGGACAAAGAGAAGTTGGTGGTTTGGTAGAGTAGGTAGATAGGTTGCAGATAAAGTTAAAGCTGAGAATTGCGATGTGATTCATTTCATGGAACATAAATGGACAATATAAAAGAGGGGGTGCAATTCTAGAAGGGATGCTGGAGTGGAGAACCCGGGTTTTTATGTGCATAGATCATTGAAAGTGGCAGGACAGGTGGAAAAAGCAGTAGGTAATACATGGGCTTATTAGTCGTGGAATATACTACAAAAGCAAGGAGAAAATGCTGAAAGTAGACAAAACTTTTGTTAGATTACAATGGTGCATTGTGTATAGTTATGGGTTGCACACAATAGGAAGAATATGAACATATTGGAGAGAGTACAGAAGAGAATTACAAGAATAGTTCCAGGAATGTCAAATTTCAGTTGAGGGTAGATTGAAGAAGTTGAGACTGTTCTTTGTGGAGAGAAGACAGCTAAGAGGAGATTTGGCAGAAGTTCTTAAAATGTGAGAGGTCTAGATATAGTAGATAGGCAGAAACTATTCCACTAGTAAAAGTATTGAAAACGAAAGGGCACAGATTTCCAGTGACTTCCAAATGTAGCAAATGTGATATGGGCAAAAGCTTTTTCACACAACAAGTGGGATGAGTCTGGAATACACTGCCTGTGTCGTGTAGGTTATCAAGAGGGTATTAGAGATTGTTTTAATTAAAACAATGTGCAAGGGTACCAGGAAAAGGCAGTAGAATGACACCATAATGATCATTTGGAGGGATGGCTCAGATACATGGACTAAATGGTGGCCTCCTGTGCAGTAACACTTGTGATTTCTTTTTTCTCAATTAAAGTGAAACTGGGCTTGTGAATGTAGAAAGCAAATTAAAGCATTTGTAAAAAGAAAAAATTATGGGAAATGGGCATTACTGATTTAGCTGACATTTATTGTCCAATCTGAAAATTGAGAAATTGGTTATGAGCAACTTCTTGAACTGCTGCAGTTTGTGGCACAGGTATCCTCACAGCAGGATTTGGACCAAGAGACAGTGAAGGAATGGCCATATAGCTCTAAGTTAGGATTCTGTATGGCACAGAGGAAAACTTACAACTGGTAGTAATCTCATGCATTTGCTGCCTATATCCTTATAGATAGTAGTGGGTCACAGGTTTTGGAGGAGCCTTAGTGAGTTGCTGCAGTGCATTTGATGAGTGGTACAAGACTGCTGTTACTGTATATCAGTGGTGGAGGGAATGAAAGCTAAAGGTGGTGGATAGGATATCAATCAAGCTGGTTGCTTTGTTTGGGAAGGGGCTGAGCTTTCTGATTTGTTATTAAAGTTGTTGTCATACATGCAAGTAGAGAGCATACCATCACCCTTCTGACTTTTGCCTCATAGATGGTGACTAGGCTTTAGGGAGCTAGGAAGTGAGTTACCACAGAATTCCCATTCTCTGACGTTATGGAGGCATTTCAATTAAGTGACTGCTCCAGTTCAGGTTCTTGGCAGTAGTAACCCCCAGGATGTTGACAGTTGGGTATTTAGTGGTGGAAATGCCATTGAAAGGGGAGATGGTTAGATTCTCTCTTGTTGAAATTGTCATTGCCTTGCACTTGTGTGGCATGAATATTACTTGCCAATTGTCAGCCCAAGCCTGAATGTTGTTGTTGTTATGCTGCATACAGGCACTGATATCTCAGGGTCTGAGGAGTCCTGAATGGTGCTGAACTTTGTTCAGTCATCAGTGACCTTATCGTGGAGGGAAGGTCATTGTTGAAGCACTTGAAGATGGTTGGGCCTAGGACATTAACCCGAGGAACTCCTGCAGAGATGTCCTGGAGCCTCCAATAACCAGAACCGTCCTTTTTTTTTGTTAGGTATAACTCCAACCAGAGGAGAGATCCTCCTGCCTCTGGATTCCCATTGATTTCAGTTTTGCTTGAGCTGTTTGATGTCACAGTGGGTCAAATGATGCCTTGATATAAATTGCAGTCACTATCCCCTCAGGAGCTGAGTGGCTGCAATATAATCAAAGCTGAGCATCAGTGAGCAGTTTATTGGCGAGTAAGTGCTGTATGATAGCACTGGTAACAATTCCTTCCAGTCCTTTGCTAATGACTACGAGTAGATTGGTTGGGCAGTATTAGAGTCATAGAGTTATACAGCCAATAGGCTGATTTGGATTTGTCCTGATTTTTGGGGGTCAGAACTGGGCAAATTTCTACATTGTTGGGTAGATGCCAATGATGTAGCTGTACTGGAACTGTTGGCTTGCACCATGGGTACTTATAGAGCACAAGACTTTAGTACTTTTTCAGTAGATTCATAGAAATGTACAGCATGGTAACAGACCCTTTGGTCCAACTCATCCATGCCGAACAGATATCCAAAATTAATCTAGTCCCATTTGCCAGCATTTGGCCCATACCCCTCTAAACCCTTCCTATTCATATACCCATCCAGATGCCTTTTAAATGTTGTAATTGTACCAGCCTCCACCACTTCCTCTGGCAGCTCATTACTTACGCGCACCACCCGCTGCATGAAAAAGTTGCCACTGAGGTCACTGTTAAATCTTTGCCCTCTTAGACACCCTCTAGTTTTGGACTCCCCTACCCTGGGTAAAAGACCTTGGCTATTCACCTTGTCAATGCCCCTCATGATTTTATAAAACTCTATGAGATCCCCCCTCAGCCTCCGACGCTCCAGAGAAAAGAGCTCCAGTCTATTCAGCCTCTCCCGAGAGCTCAAACCCTTCAACCCTGTAAATTTTTTCTGAACACCTTCAAGTTTCACAACATCTTTCCTTATAGCAGAGAGACCAGAATTGCATGCAGTAATCCAAAATTGGCCTAATCGACGTCCTGTACGGCTGTAACATGACCTTCCAGCTCCTGTACTCAAAGCACTGATCAATCAAGGAAAGTGTACAAAACTCACTATCCTGTCTATCTGCAACTCCACTTTCAAGGAACTATGAACCTGCAGCCCAAGGTCTCCTTATTTGGCAACACTCCTCAGGACCTTACCTTTTTTTTTTCCTTTAGCATGGGATGAGGACGTTGCTGGCCAGGCAGCATTTATTGAGGGCAGAGGGCAGTTCAGAGTCAGCTGCATTGCTGTGGGTCTGGAGTCACATGTAGGCCAGACCAGGTAAGGGTGGTTTCCTTCCCTAAAGGGCATTAGTGAACCAGATGGGTTTTTGCCCCAACAATCGACAATGGACAATGGACAATGGACAATGGACAATGGACAATGGATTCATGGTCATCATTAGACTCTTAATTCCAGATATTTATTGAATTCAAATTCCACCATCTCCCATGGCAGGATTCGAACCCAGGTCCCCAGAATATTATCTGGGTCTCTGGGTTAACAGTCAAGTGATAATGCCACTAGGCCATCGCCTCCCCTGTATAATCCTGTAAGTAAGTCCTATAAGTAATGTTGTCAGCTTTTTCAGCCTTCAGTGCCTTCAGCCATTTGACATCACGCTGCAGCAATTCAAGGAGATGGCTACCACAGACTTCTCAAGGGTAGTTAGGTATGGGTCAGAATTGATTACATTTCGTGAGCTGATTTTTAAAAAAAAATTCTGTGGCATGTCCTGAGGTTATGAAATGTGTCATTTACAATGCAAGTTTTTTTCAAACGAAGAAGATAATGTGATGCTAGAGTTCTGCATTAATCTTCATGATTTCAAATGATTTGCTGTATTTATTCTTTAAATGTCAGAAAATTTGTACGTAATTAGTGGCTATTAGATTAGTTTGCTATGCTGGATTTTGTTTTAATAATTAAGAATTTGAACAGAATTTCAATATTAATGGACCTAAATTGATTTAAATTGAATCTATATAATTTGAAGAATTTTAGTGATAAAATATGAGAAAAATGCTATTGTCTACTTCATGTACAGTTGGGATCTTTTGGACATTATGGGACATGTTTTCTCAATTGTACTTTGAGAGTCATGTACAATAGCACTGCATAGTGGGAAACTGCTGACCTTTTGCACACAATTTTTTATCTAGGCATTTTTGTTAAATCTACCTGTCCAAGGATGTTATGACTGTAGAGCAGGTGGGACTCAAACCTAGTCCTCCTAGCTCAGAGGCAGGGAAACTACCACTGCACCTCAGGTGCTCTCTCAGATTTCCATCTATTCAGAGTCATCGAGTCATTGAGATATCCAGCACGGAAACAGACTCTTCGGTCCAACTCGTCCATGCCAACCAGATATCCTAAATAAATCTAGTCCCATTTGACAGCATCTGGCCCATATCCCTCCAAACCCTTCCTATTCATGTACCCACCCAGATGCCTTTTAAAGGTTATAATTGTACCAGCCTCCACCACTTCCTCTGCCATCTCATTCCATACACACACCATCTTCCGTGTGAAAAAATTGCCCCTTAGGTCACTTTTAAATCTTTCCCATCTCACCTTAAACCTGTGCCGTCCAGTTTTGGACTCTGCTACACTGGGGAAAAGACCTTGGCGATTCACCCTGTCTATGCCTCTCATGATTTTATAAAGTTCTATAAGGTCACCCCTCAGCTTCCGACACCTTAAGGAAAATAGCCCCAGCCTATTCTGCTTCTCCCTACTGGTCATACCCTCTAACCCTGGCAACATCCCTGTAAATCTTTTCTGAACCCTGTCAAGTTTCACAACATCCTTACTATAGCAGGGAGATTGGAATTGCTTGTACTATTCCAAAAGTGGCCTAACCAATGTCCTGTACAGCCCCAACATGACCTCCCAACTCCTATACTCATGTAATGACCAATAAAGGCAAGCATCCCAAAGCCTTCTTCTCTATCCTATCTACCTGCAACTCCATTTTCAAGGAACTATGAACCTGCACTCCACAGCTTAGTTAAATTGGAGAACTATTGCCTTGTGAATTCAATCTTCACACCAGGGCTTGAGTACTTATCTAGGCTAAGTACTTTCATGTAGAACTAAAAGAGTACTACATTGTCTTTGAGATGAGACTGTTTAGATTTTATGACAATAGTCAAAGAAGAGCTGACAAGTTCTTATGGTATTCTGATGTTACTTATCCCCCAGTCAACACCAAAATGGGTTGACTGATTACTTAATTGCCATTTATAGGACATCACAAGGAGCAAATTGGTTGTCAAATTGCCTATGTAGAACAATAGGTATACTTATTGTTGCTGAGGTCATGGCAATGCTGTCTCAATCTCATGTTCTCATAAAATGTATGGTTATTGTACATATATGGTAAGTACTGTACAATACTGCTAATATCTTTGTTTAAAATTTCAGCCTAAAGATTTCACAAGCATGCAGGATCGGGTGATGCTGTTAGCTGATAGCTCAGAGGATGAGTTTTAAGTATGAATAATGTTTTGATGCAATACAAATGTCTGAAGCTGCACTGGAGTCAGGGGATACAGGATGTCATTGCTTTTTGCTACTTGTCATTTCTAATGCAAGTGTTTTTTCTTTTAATGAGAAGATATTGAGGTTGCGAATGTTATTTGTGACATAATGTAAAGTCTTGTTTAATAGAAATTTACCTCATAGGTGCAACCTCAGTTTAATTTCACTGTAAGTTCATCCTGATAAATTGGAATGACCAGATGTTATGTAATAATGTTGCTATAGTCAATAAATGCTTGGTTGCTGTAATTTTAAAACTGCAATATTCACTTTTTGTTACCAAAATTCTGTTAATGCTTTTGGAGACAATGCTACTAAGCAATAATGGTTCCTTAAACAGTCTTTATCAAGTCAGTAATGAATGGGTAACAATTTTAACCAATGCCTAACAGACTCATTTTGCGTTATCTACATTGGTATAAAATTCACGAAAGAAGCCACAGATAACAATTCTCATGAAAGAGCTGCCAATCATCTATAGGGGACAATGTCAGTTTGTTTTCAGAGTTGAAAACCATCAACGTTTTAAGAGTGATGAATGAATGGTGTTCATTGCATAACTAGCAGGCATGTTTTCTGAAGAAGAGTTCTAAAGTCATATTGGACTCAATGTTAACTGTTTGTCTAAGCACAAATACTGCCAGACCGGTTGAGTATTTTGTTTTATTAGGCAGGTTTTCTCATTGAGTAGCCTTTAATCCAACACACATTGCAGGATGAATGTGACAATACCTTTGTCTCACTGTTAAGCTTGTAACTGCTCCCTAACAGCTCACCATGTGCTGTGATTTCAAAGCTCAACTGTACCTTAATCAGGTCAGTAATTAGTGTGGAGGAAGTGAGTTTCTAGGATATTCTTTCTATCACTTCCTTGTATATTGTCACATACTCCCACCTGTATCTAATATTGGTAAGACACCACATACCCATGATTCTTAGCATTGGTAAAGTTATATCTTGTCAACAGATGGATACCATGTTGCAGTTTGATTAAGAATTAGTTCTTAGAGACATGGACAATATTGATTTTGATGCTATTGGTACTAGATATTGTATACACAAGATATTATATGCAATCACAATAGTAAGTGGAATCCACTTATCATTACTTACCATGTGCCAAAACTTTCAGTAAATCTCATGATTTTATTTTTATGTAAATGATCCATTTTATGATTTTCTTTAAACAGTATTAAATTCCATATATAATGCACAATTTGACAAACATTAGGTAGGACCTGATAATCGGGTGTAACAAAAATAAAACTGCATCTAATTAAGCATGATTATAATCTCTGCAAAGAACTTGATATGGTTAAAGTCACATTAGATTCAATGGCGTTTGGACCTTCTGGTGAATTAATTAGAAAAATACATATTTGTGGAAAGAAAAAAAGGATTTTGTCTAATTGTTATACCATAGCAGTCCAGATATAAGTGCCATTAAAATGTCGAACAAGTTGGCAGAGTGTTAGTGACACTAACCTTTAATCCAGAATACCCAAACTAATCCTCCAGGGACACAACTTTATATCTAACCATTGCAAGATGCCCGGTCACTGACCTACAATTGTAGACAGAACTTAATGAGGCTGGTCCACTTAAGTGTCTCATCAAAGGTGTTCATTTCGAGGGGTTTAGAGATTGTAATGTGTTGAATGGATTATGTCTTGTTGGATTTTGTTATCTGGCACTTATGTGTCACAAATGTTACTTTGCCACTAATTAGCCCAAGCCTGAACATTGTCCAGATATTGCTGCATTTGGATACAGACCTATCATTAATGATACTAAGAAAACCAATACATTTTGTAGAAGAGCAGGATAACAATGGCAACTTTACATTTGTGTAGTACCTTTCTTGCAATTATATATCTCACGGCTCTTCACAGTCATAAAGCATAAAGTAAACATAAGGTGAATTAGGGCAGAAGATTAAAAGCTTGGCTGAAGCAGTAATTTTTCTTTTAATGAACATCTTAAAGGAAGAAAGAGGTTGAGAGAAAAGTTTATGAAGGGATTTCTAGTGCCTAGGCAGCCTAAAGGTAAGACCACCAGTGGTGAAACAATTAAAATCAGGGTGCCCAAGTGGTTGGAGTTAAAATTGCTCTATGGATTGTGGAAACAGCAGAGATTAGAGATAGGAAGGGGTGATTCTGTGGAGGAATTTGAAAACAAGGATGAGAATTTTAAAACCAAGGCATTGCTTGACTGGGAGCTAGTATAGGTCAGTGAGCACAGGGTTGATGAGGAATATTATCTCTAATTTCTGTTTTTCTGAGAATATCAGCTATTTACACTATTTCTAATCTGATATTTATTCTTTAGCAACCCACTCCATTTGCATTGTTACTTGTGTATTCCATAGTATTTCTACAAGGTTTATATTAAATGTTTCTCTAAATTATCATGTTGGAATGGGATTCTGTTGTTGACTTGCTTACGACAAATAAGAAGTGATGCTAAATTGGTGCTGGTTGCCAATTTCCTCAGATGCTGTGCCCTGTCAATGTAATTTTACAAGCAATGCTTCAGAAGCATTGTATGTGTGCTTAAAAAGAGTTTGCAGTGGTTTTGGTGAAGTTAAGGTGATGGATTGGGAACAACCCCGGTGTGTGGAAAATGGAAATTAATAAGTTGAGCTTCACACAGGGATCAGTAAGCTTTGCACGGTCAGGAAGGAGAGACCACATCAGTGCAGAGGAGAAGAAGTGTTTTTACTTGCTTCTTTTTTTTGGCTCATAATTTGTTTTTGAATAGGATAAATTGAAGTCCAGGATGGGGCCCAACACAAAATAGTGACATCACAGGCAGACTTCATTGGTTTAGTGATAGCAACTAATTTGCCTGTCTATTATGGGTTACTTTCAGATTGAAGGATAATAGAAGTATTTACATGCAACAAACTAAAAGACCAGTATGATTTAAAAGAAAAATCACATGAAGAACTAAGTAATTAAGATAGAGATGCAGGGCCTGGCAATGTGTGGTAACTGCATGATGTGGGAGCTGGTGGACCCCATTGTGGTTCATAGTGACCATATCTGCAGCAAGTGTTGGCTGCTTGAGGAACTCTAGCTCAGAGCTGATGAGCTGGAGTCCAAGCTTCAAACACTGTGACATATCAGGCATGGGGAGCAGATACCTGGACTCTGTGTTTCGGGGGCAGTCACACCCACTAGATTAACTACCTTGAATTTAGTCAGTGATCAGGGACAGGAGAATGTGACTACAAGCAAGGCAGGTAGCAGGATCCAGTAGGTAATGCTGAACAAGCCTCAGCCCTTGAGCTTGTCTAACAGGTTTTGGGATTCTTGCTCCCTGTGTGGATGAGAGTGGGGCTTTAGGGAGGATGAGCAAATTGATCATAGCACTGTGATACAGGAAGCCATTCAAGAGGGGGAGAATAGAGAAATGTAGTTGTAATTGGGGTTAATATAGTCAGGGGAATAGACACTTCTCTGGCCAGCCCGAAGGTATATTGCCTGCCTAGTGCCAGAGTTCAGGATATCTCATCCGGGCCACAGAGGAACTTGTAGTGGGATGGGAAAGATTCATTTGTTGTGGACCATGTAGGTACCAACAATACAGGCAGAATAAGGAAAGAGGTTCTGCTGAGGGACTATGATCAATTGGGGGCTAAATTAAAAAGAAGAACCAAATTTTCTCAACTGGTGGGCTCTCTTGCAAAGAAAATTATGGAAAAAATTAAGGAGGGATGGGGAAGCAGGGGGTGGGGTTGTTGGGGGGGTGGTGGATGGTGTGGGGGTGGCTCAGCAGAGGTTATTAAAGTTTCCAGATGAGTAATGGGACAGAGAGTTTGAAAGGGTCAGGAATCTAACTTCAGGCACAGTAGATAAGGGGACAACTATTGGAAGGGGGGCAGTCAATGCAAGACTGATGATGCTGTTCTTAATTGTACATATTATACAAAACAAGGTAAATGAGATTATAGTGCAGATTGAAATTGGCAAGTACCAATTTGCAGGTATCCCAGAAAGAGACGTGACTACGAGGGAATCAGGACTGGGAACTAAATGACCAAGGATACACATCCTTTTATCAGGACAGGCAGATGGGCAGCGGGGGTGGGGTTGCCTTCTTAGTAAGAAGTGACATAGTTGGAAAGTGTAGAATCTGTGTGAGTGGAGTTGAAGGACTGCAAAGGGAAAAAGACCCCAATGGGAGTTGTGTACACGCCTCCTAGCAGTAGTCAGGATGTGGGGAAGAAAATAAATCAGGAGATAGAAAAGGCTTATAAGAAAAGTATTACTATAGTAATCTTGGGGGACTTCAATATGCAGGTGAACTGGGAGAATCAGGTCGGTAGCAGATTTCAAGAAAAGGAATTTGTGGAATATCTACGAGAAAATTTTTTGGAGCAGTTTGTGCTACAGCTCACTAGGGAGCAGGCATTTCTGGATTTGGTGATGTGTCATGAGACAGACCTGATTAGGGAGCTTAAGGTGAAAGAACCCCTATGAGGCAGTGACCATAATATGATAGAATTCACCCTGTAGTCTGAGAGGGAGAAGCTGATATCACAATTGAGTATAAGTAACTACAAAGGCATAAGGAGACCCTAGCAGGGAAGATGGTGGGGCAGCAATGGCAGGAGTGTCTGGGGTAATTTGCGATGCACAGCAGAAATTCATCCCAAGGAAGAAGAAACATACTAAAAGGAGGCCATGGTTGATGAGTGAAGTCCGGGACAGAATAAAAATATACAATGTGATGAAGGTTAGTGGAAAGCCTTTAAAAAGCAATAACAGGGGACAAGATGAAATATGAGAGTAAACTAGCTAGTAATATAAAAGAAGATTGCAGGACTTTTTTTAAAGATACCTAATAAGTAAGAGAGGCAGGATCAGACCACTGGAAAATGGGGTTGAAGATGTAGCAATGGGGAACAAAGAAATAGCGGAGGAACTGATTAGGCACTTTGCATCAGTTTTCACAGTGGAAGACAGTAGCAGCATAC